TTGTTTTGCTGCTGCATAATAGCGCGTGCTATATAGTCACTCATGTTTTAAAAAGTTTTTTATTCGGTGTTGGATATATGAGTTTGATTAATTTAGTATTGTGCAATGTAGGGATTATTCGGAGGTAGTGCTCTCTATCAATAATATTTCTATATTCAGGACTTGAAATTGAGATTTTTGATTAAGAAATGAGCAATTTCAACTGCTGCATTGCATCCTTTAGTGGTCCTTTCTTGCTTATTTAATTTAGCTGAGTACACCCTAGGTGGATCAATAGTGTTTCTATTTACCTTTCAACACAACTTGAACTCTCAATCTATCGATCGATGGTGAAAATGTCAACCATTTAAACAAACAAATTTGTTGTATACTTATATTTAAATCATATGCTTTATATTACGGTTTTTAGTATTCAAGTCATATATTTTTAAAGTTATGAGTTCATATCTATTAATTATTATAATATTACTAAATTTTTACATATAAAAGTAAGTTTGGAGTTGAAAATATTGAGGTAAGATGAACGTGACATAGGACATCGAGTCCGCCCTTGCTTAATAATAATTGTGATTTTATTCTACCATAATTTATTCAAATAAAAACAAATGTCACACACAACGCACACATATATAACATATTTTATACCATAAATTTTCAAAAGTCATTTTTTTTTTGGAAAATCTTATGTCAAGTCAAACTATCACACGTAAATTAAACGAAAAAGTAATACAAATATTTATTTAGTAATTATTAATAATAATTGTCTTTCGGGATGACTCAATTGGTTTGTAGAGTAGTCATCTAAACATATGACCTGGGATCACTCCCTCTTCAATGTCATCTAAGTCGAATCTGTCGCACACTTTTCTAATGTGATTTACATATCCTATATAATTTGCAAAAAAATTACACAATGAGGGATTCACCTAATGGACATAAAATGTTTACCCAAAATTCAAATACTATGACAAAGATTATAGAGATTACGTGTTATCCTAAAAGTCAAAAAATAATACTTAATTAATAATTGTTTTGTGGATGATAGGGCTGTACAACATAGGTGAAGTGACAAGACAATAATGATTTTATACTGAAATGGGAAATAATAGAAAAAAAGGAAATAAATGACCAGACAACAGAAAAAGAAAGAAAAAAGGAAATGGAAAATACTATTATACCCTTTGAACATAAAGGGGTTAATTAATTAATTAATCATTTAATTGCCTAATTCAAGAGCGTGCACACGCTCCTATTTGTGGCGCGTTAGTGACCACATATTGACCAACGATTTACTGGGAGGTTCACATGTTTGTAATGCGGCTCCTTGTGTAACAAATTTAACTAACCGGTGGTTATTTCCTTCTTACCATTTTTTTTCCTTTATAAAAATTTAAAATTTAAAATTTAAAAAAATTCATGTTAGAGATAATAAAAAAATAAAAAAATATATCAAAATATATTTATGTAAAATCTAGATAAGTGTTACGAAGGTGAGGATAGGATGTCGGAGTGTATGGACCGGTGGAGGTGGTGGCTATAGAGATGGTGGTGGAATTTTCAATAAAGGATTTAGAATGTAAAGAGTTAAAACACAAAGAAAATCAATCGGGTTCAACATGTACGGAAAATATTTATGTAAAATCTAGACAAGCTTTATAGAGTGTATGGGTGGTGGAGGTGGAGGTTATGGAGATTGGAGATAGTGGCGGTTCAAATTTTTCACTAAGAATTTCAGATCATATAGAAATAACACACAAAGAAAATCAATCATGTTCAACATGAAAATAAAATATTTATGTAAAATCTAGATAAACATTATGAAAGTGAGGATATGATGTCGGAGTGTAGGTATGGTGAAGGTGGAGGCATTGGTGAAAATCGAAATTTCACTAAGGAACTAAGAATACAAAAAGTTTAATGTACGAAGAATTTGCATATATTTTATTCTATTTGGATCTTGTTTATGAGATTACGTGAATATAACATTATTGTTGTATTTATCAATTTAACGTAAACACTTGATGCAAATAAATTTTTATCGATATGATAATCTTTTCTTTTTCTTCAAATTAATAACTTTATAGGATACTAATAAGATAAGTTCGAAATTGCCGTCAAAGTTTCAAAAGATAGACAATCATTGTTTGGTCAAAAATATATGTCACTTTTAAAAATTGTTAACTTTAATTTTTTTTTCTAAGAAGACATGCATTCATTAATTATTCATTTAAAGAGGAGATAAATTTAGTTAAATAATTTTCATATTAATAATAATAAAAAAATCATAAGAAAATTATGTGTTTATAAGGTAGGAATGAAATATGTACATATGTTATTCTTCTCAAATGATTATACTGAATTTATTGTTAATGTCCAATATATATTCATAATCCTCATAATGTCATTCTACTTGGAGAAAACATGTTTAAGAAGTCATTAATTAATTCTTAATTAGTGTAAAACGATTATGTTTGCTTTTAAGGCTTATTAATTTAAATAATAATGTACTAAAGAAGAATGAACTTTCTTGTAAGAAAAAAATAATCAATTGCCGTATGAGATTATCATTTAATATTTGTTTTTTTTCTTTAAATTGACTAATTCATGGAATAATTATGATGAGGTTTATTCCTCTAAACCTAGTTAAGGTTGTTTGCATAGTCTATAAATTAAAAAAAGGTATACATATTTTTAAAGGATTTTTTAAGTATAATTAATGCACCCGATTAATAAATATTAACGTTGTATAAAACTCATTTAAATTGAAAATGCTCGCAATTTGAATTGATAATGGAGGGATCCATCCGTCCCATAATATTTCTTATTATAGAGTATAAGACAAGTTTTTAAAAATTAAAAAAGATAGGTTTTTAAGGATTTTTTTTGTAAAATTTTTAGATTGGTAACGCACTGACGTGGCTAATACAAATTCACATCATTAGGACTATTTAAGTTGAAAATATTTGAGGTACGATTTGAACTCGAGACTTATAATTAAAAGTAGAGTTACTCCATTCCCATCACATCCATTCGGCTATATATGCATATTCCAAATTAGGTAAGTAGCCATGGAATATCATATGATGAGTTTTAAGACAAGGTTTTTCAAAAGAATAATATTTTAAAAAGTAGATTTTTAAAGGAATTTTTTGGTAGTATATGTAATACATTGACTCGATTAATTCAAATTTACATTGAATACGACTTATTTAAGTGGAAAATGTTCAAAGTTTGAACTCTAGATATCTGATTAAAAGTAGAGAGAGTCCATCATCGATCTATCTATCCACACTAAAATCCTATCGTGATTAAGATATTTCATTTAGACGAGTAAATCTATCATTGGCTAGAAAAAAAAATTAATTTTCTTTTTTTGTTATTACGTATTTTTTAGACGAGTAAATCTATCAAAGGCATTGAAAACATCGTTTTTTTATATTACCGCACAAGCTTGGACTGGACCTACCTCCCCCTAAGAAAATATGAACCAAAAATTAAAACAAAAAGGTTTCCTCAAATTGCTTGAGGCTACAAATGTAGAATATAATATTTGGGCACACAATGGAATATTTCAATTTATTAATTTTTAATTTTAATTTTAATTAATAAGAAGTGATGATGTATTGAATATATTTGCCCTCATCAAATAAAGTTGTATTATTCACCTTGAAATTTACTATTGTCTGATTCGAATATAAATTCATAATTGTGTTTCTTCATCATATCATTTCTTATCTTTGACATGAAAAGAGAGGAAAAAGAAACTAGACAAGCATAAGTAAAGTTGACAACTCAATATTAGAATACAAACTTATCTCCCTAGTGAATAAGAATAATAAAACATCTTGTAATCTCATAAGTGGAGTTCGAGGAGGATAGAATACACGCATATCTTATCTATCTCTATAAGGTAGAAGATTGTTTTCGATATACCCTCTGCAAGGGAAAATCCTTTGCAACTTTCTAAAAGAACAATAAAGATAGTTTAGAAATTATGTAAATAAAGTTTTATTGTTGTTACAAACGTTAAATGAGAGTTTGATATTTTGTTTGTAACATTGTAAAATATAATAGTAAGAAATGTCAATTAAAAAGAGCAATTTTGAAGCCTGCTCTCCATTTCCACCGTTGATGCAATAGAAGCCCTTGACTATGGTTCCAAGAGTACTTACGTAAACAAAAAGAAACTAGAATTTTTAAGCTTATGGAAAACAACCTCGGCTACTACGTAAATACTTTTTGAACCTCTATACTTGTACTCATGGAGCCGACTTCATACATTCTTTTACATATAGAAATAGTCATGTCAATCTTCTCGTTTATATACATCGCCATCCAACTATCAATACCTTGGTCATGATTCCGATTTCTACGAGTCACAAATAACGACATGAACTTGTATGTATAGTCAAATTACATTTCGAAGAATCAATCACATATGTTAAGAACACAACGAATTAGAAGGTGGGCCTATAAGCAGTCATCCTTTGAAGAAAACGGAATAGCTACTGGGCTCGGTCCATGGTTTTGATATTAGGGCCAAGCCTAATTAGGCCCTTTTGGACTCCAACACAATTGATCATTCTATGTTTCTTTGAGCACTATAAATACCATCAATATTATTATTATTACACTCCCTACTCCTCTCTTCTTCATTCTACCATCTAGTCATGTTTCAATGTACACTAAGTTTTTCCATTTTATTTAAAAAGACGAAAAATACCCCTAAATTATTTTATTCCAACTAAGAAGTGAGGATAACTTTGAGTGAACAAAGACAATTTAGATTCACAACTAATGGTATAGTCACAAAAATAATATACAACATCAATGAAATTATATCTAGGTGTGTGAACATTTGTGGTATTGGGATTTTTCAGTTCAAAAACCAATGGGATGTCTCTATTTAAGGTCAATCTGCTATTTGTTGTATGCATATGCAGCAGAAGAAAGATAAAATCCCACATGCAATATTAGAAAACGAACCATCAAAGACAAACTACTCCATAAAAATCCTTAATTCCATACCATGTAGAGTAATACTCCAGCTAAAATTAAAACTCAAAATGTAGGCAAGGAAAAGCCAGGCAACGAGCCCGTGGATTTCCTCCCACTCAATATCTTTCATGTCTTGGGCCAGCAAAGTAGAACAAAACAGCAGACTAAACAAAAAGCTTTCTAACATGAGTTCATAAAAGAAAAGTCCCTTTACTGAGAAACTCCGAGCCACTTTGTGAAGTTGTCGAACTCTGCATAATCGGAATCTGAGATCATGGTCTTGTACCACGAATGACTTGCACCCCTGATTGCTGATGCCTCCTCCTGCAACAAAAATATGGACTCAGGAAAAACAGTGGGAGTTGTTCTTTATAGAGGACACAAAAGGAGACACCTATAAGATGTTATTTTTAGTACAAAGAGCTATGCAAGTGTAATCTATGATTCCGCATATAAATGTACAAGATTATAAACAGGATAAGAGGAGCTTCTCAAGCATAAGAGAAACGCCAAAAAATAATACAGTAGATGCAGCATTAAAGCAACATCTGTATTACTATCTAAATACCATTTCTAATCTCCAAGCATCTAAGAAACTTTTCTACACTTGACCAAATTCACATAATTGCCAAACACAGTTCAAACAGTTTTGATTGAAGCTTCTAATGCATGAAACACTACCATTTCTAATCTCCCAAGCATCAAATAAACTTTCCAACACTCAACCAAATTCACATAATTGCCAAACACGGTTCAAACAGCTTTGATTGAAGCTTCTAATGCAGGTAACACTTGTTCTTAGCTAAAAGCCCGAAAAGGAAAACTTCCCTATACTTGTATCACTACAATAGTAATAAGCATCCAGAACACGCAGAACACGACTGAACCAATCAGGACACTCGTATCACTACAATAGTAATAAGCATCTTCTTAGCACGTTCAAGTGACATACTAAACGGAGCATAACATGACCACACCAAACCCTACCACTACAATAGTAATAAGCATCTTCTCAGCACATTTGAGCGACATACTGTAAGGAGCAGAATACAACTGAAACAAATGAAATATCATAAACTAATCAAATTAATAATTAAGGTTTGCCATGTACAAAAACAGTGGTTCTGTTCACAAGGGATAAATAGCACAAAAACCAAATCATTATTAATCAAAACAAAACCAAGATTAGTTATTAATCATACCATTATTTAGTACTCCTACATTATCTACTTCAATACTAAACACAACTCTATGTGCAAATATTTGATTTTTCTTTCTTTAATCATTCGCTTCTACCTAGTTTAACATGATTCAATAAACAAATAGTTGCAATTACTTGTTTAACTATGTATGCATTAGATTATCGCAAATTATAAGATTAAGCAAAACTTCTAAAGATGATACCTTTGTAATTTGATGTCTCTTCTTGTCGAGCTTCTCCTTCTTGGCCTTGACACGCTGTGCCTCGGCCAAAAGGGACATCCTCCTGGCAGTCTTTGCATAAGGATTGAGCTTCAGCAATACGTTCAGGTTCTTCAATGGATTCTTCTTCAAAGTTGCCCTCTTGTTAACATCCTTCTTGATTGGTCTAACAACAGACTGCACCTCATCAGAATTGATAATCCTGGCAAGATCAGCATTCACCATCTTTGGCCTTGGCAACAAATATCCCTTCTTCTTCAGTGATGGCTTATCGAATGTACCATAAATGCCATCCAATTTCTCATAAGCACATTTGGTCCAGATAATAAACCTACCAAGGTGACCACCTGGAGCAAGCTTGAGCAGATTCAAACGATCAACATGGCAGATTTCAACACCAGGAATGTTCCTGAATGCCTTCACGAGCTTAGCTCCTTCAGTTCCATACACAATCAATGGACCTTTTCGGGAAATGTAACGACGGTTACGCATTTTTCCCTTTCCTTGGCGAATAGCATGGCTGTCCTTGGCCTTCTCAGCATCTGGGTAAGCACCAATTTGCTTCAAAGCTTTTATAGCGTTGCTAGTCTTCTCAATACCCTCAATTGAATCGGAAATAACGAGAGGTAGCTCAGGGACCGATTCAATACGGTGACCACGAGCGAGAACCAATGAAGGAACGGAAGATGCAGCAATAGCTGAAGCAACAGCATACCTTTTTTGGTTAACAGGGATCTTCCTATGCCATCGGCGCCAGATCTGCGTCGGAGCGAACATCCGTCCACCACGACACATGTTACCGAAAGCTCCCTGTCCGGCACGGTGAGTACCACCACCGGGAACACGAGGGATACGTGACACAGCACGTCCGGTACCCCATGACTCAGCAGAGGTCTGGTGACCGGCTTTCCTCGACACTGCATAAGGTTGCCGGGCGTTTTTGGAAATGTTGGAGTGGACGTAGGTGACCACATCAGGACGGATCGGAGCCTTCATTACGGCGGGAAGGGGAACGGCGGCGCTGTCAGTGGCCATATCATTTTCCAGGCTTTGCACGGTGGTGGTAGGGATGGCGGCAGCGGTGGCCATTGCAGGGGGAGGGGGGGCTGCTAGGGTTTTTCGGTAGAAGTGCGAGTGAAACCTTAAAGAGAAAATTAGGGTTTAGACCTGAAATGTGAATATATAGCATTTAGAGAAGAATAGATATAGGAAATGGGCCAAGCCTGAATGAGATGTTGGGCTCAAGCCCACGACTCTTGTAGTAAACATGGACACCCGACCCAATTTGATCGATCGATATTCTCAAAAATGTTATTTTTTAGAGGAAATTACTCAAGTAAACAAACATATACTAGTTAATTAGTTAAAATAGCTACAGTTTAGCTAATATATAATTCACCACTAACATTTAGAGCTAATTCCATGGGTTGCGGTTCGAGTTTGTATAATTCGTCACTAACAATTCTTCGTTTGATTTGTATTTGTTATATGACGGTGATTTCCTTTAATTTTTCAGTTTAATCATCAGATACATTCAATCTTTTTTTGTATAACTTTTTAAAGTTTGTATAATCGTGTAGTTTTCGAATTTTATATTACTTTTGTATAATGTAATTTGTATAAAATAATTTGTAAAACTGTTTAAGGTTTAGATATTTGTATTTGTATAAATTTTTATTTCGATTTTTACCATATTTGTATCAAATACGGATGAAAATAACTCAATTATAGAAATACACGTGAATTATACAAATGTACCTGCGAATTATACGGGCGAGGTGCGAACTATTCAAGCGAGTAAGCTATAGCTACAGCCCGTCAATATGCAAACCATAGTTAAGGAGTCTAATAAAGTTTATTATAGTGGCTATTTGTGAAATTTTCTCTCATATATATATAT